ACACCCAACCAAGCTTTTCTAATGAAGACACAGAGTGGATCTTTCTGTGGTAACCAGTTCTCACTTGGAGCACAGGAAGAATACAAATGATGATGGGGTGACAAATGTCTAAAATCAGAGCTGGATATGAGAACACCATTTATGAAGCATTTTCTGAGCTGGGTGTGGAGATGGAGGCAGGGAGAGAGGGTGAGAGAGAATGAAAGGAGGTTCAGGAGAAGGAAAGGGGAGTGGCATGAGGTCGGGGGAGGAAAGCACTTCTGTGCGGCTTGAATTTCTCAGCTGCATTAAGTACAGAGATGGATAAGGGTCCACTACCTTCCCAGAAATGAGTTCCTCACAGAAATTTTCTACTTCTGAAATTCTTTATGACCCTGGGCACAGGTATAATCCTGCTATTCATACATAGCTCCTATGTGTGAGACCCAACTGGTTTTCTCTTCCTGTTCAAATCTTACCTATTCAAACAGCCAGGAAGGTAGCTCCCCACTACTGACCTAGCACATCCTATCTTTGCAGTTCTCTCCCCAAAGCCCAGCAAAGCTCACTGCTGACTACACAGTTCCCCCAGGCCAGCACTCTCAGAGCACCCCAGGAGCTGGCTGCACCTGTCAGAACCAGATTTCTACATTCCAGAGTTCCAAGAGGCTACTCTAAATCCTAGTAATCTTCCCGAGTCTAAGTAGTGTGTTCTAGCTTATATGGTTATTTGTGGTGTTTTGTGTTGTTTTGTTTTTTGAGACTGCATCTCCTTGTAGCCCCAGCTGGCCTGGAACTTGCTATGAAGACCAGGCTGGCCTCAATCTCACAGAGATTCACCTGCCTCCGCCTCATGAGTGCTGGGAGTAAAGGCACACATCACCACACCTGGCCTTAGATGTTTTTTTAAGAAGCTTTTTTCTAATCAGCAGCCTTCCTAATAAATTTTATGACATATATCTCCACTATATTTTTAACAATAATCTTGCAATGAAAAGGAATATATTGCTCAAAAAGATGTAAGCTCTTATACTGCAGGTTATTTTAAAAACTTTATTAATATCTCACTTTTCTTTGTAAAAATCTTCACATTAATATTTTATTCTCCTGTCTCTAAATACTTAATAAAGATGATAATCGTTTGCCATGAGACATCGTAAGTGGGCTGCAGGAATTATTAACACGTAAGAATCACAAGGTTCTAAATATTAATGATATCCAGTGGAAGGAAAAGTTAAACTTATCACAATACAGAAGCCACTGCTCATTTATAATGGAATTTGATGACGTTTCAGGGATGTGTTTTAATTTATTATTTTTATTTTATGTGTGTATTGCGTGCATGTAAGTGCACCCGTGTTGTGCATTGCCCACGGAGGACAGAAGAGGTTGTTGGATCCCCTGGAACTGGAGTTACAGACAGTTTTTAGCTGCCATGGGGATGCTAGGATTTGAACCTGGGTCTTCTGCAAGAACAGTCAGTGTTCTTAACCACTGAGCCATCTCTCCAGCCCCCAGGAATGTGTTTTTATTTATTCTCGAATGGCATTTTTATTTTATGGTGCTGTTACTACTGAAAGCCAACCAAAGAAGAAATAATATGGAGGGTATCAGAACCCAACCTGAAAAAAATTCCCAATGGCCAAAGCTGGGAAAATTCAAGAAACTGACGATACTGGATTAGAACCCAAAGAACAAGAAAAATACTCATGCGTCCATACTGATCTAGATAAATGATTAAAAATAAGTGAGTAAGGAGAAGGAATTAACATTCCTTAGAGAATTCCTAATGATACCTGTTGAAAGAATGAGGGAGAAAGAAATGGGTATTGGAACAGCACCAGAATAACTTCTCCAAGGAACAATCAAGGATGGGGCTGGGGTGTAGCTCAGTGGTAGAGGACCTGCCTAGCATGCACAACGCCCTGGGTTCGATCCCCAACACCACCAAAAGAAGAGAACCAAGGGTGGTTGTTCCTGATTTTTTTTTTCCATAACTGAGTTTTTCTCCATCTGAAGAAACAAAGTATACACTACACAAACCATCAAAATGTGCACATGGCTGAAACAAACTGAGCTCATTTATTTGCACTAAGATTCCACAGTTCACTGTCCCAGAGCTCCCTTTCCAGAAGCAGTGTCTGCTTGCTATGCTAGGGAGGGCAGCATGTGGCTGGGATCTTCAGGTAAATTGACACTAATCTGACTGCAACTTGCCAGCTCCCTTCTCAGTGATCCAGTGTGCAAGACATTCATCAGTACCACTGTGTCCTTTCCAGTGAGATGCAGAATGGAGAGCTGTTAGAACATCAATTAACCTGATCAATAATGTAGGGCAGTCACTGGCTTAGAGAAGACACTGAGTAAATCATCCCCCAAGATATCTATTAAATAGCTGAAATTACAGTGGGAATAGACATAGAGCAAAATACCATGATGCTTTTTCAGAAAAGATTTGTTTTTATTTATGTATACAAGTGTTCTGCCTGCATGTATGTAAGTGCACCACATGTGTGAAATGGCCACAGAGGACGGAAGAGGGTTATGGATCTCCTGGAACTGCAGTTATAAGTAGTTGTGAGCTACCATGTGGGTGCTAAGAACTGAACATAGGTGCTCTGTTAGAGTAGCAAGTGCTCTTAACCACTAAGCCATCTCTCCAGCCCCCCCCCCACCATGCTTATAACAAATACCCCAAAATTCCTCAAGGAGGTGAGCCTAATTCTCATCTTGATCATGGTCTAAACTAATAATGCACTTACAAGGAACAGAAAAGAAAGCTAGAAACTTTATGGTGGAGAGAGCTGAGAGCCCACCTAACCAAGTGATCAAGGTGAGTGTTCTCAATTGTCAGTTAGGATCATGAAATCTTTATGATGTGAAGTGATGAGGAGCCATTCCATCTCAGTGGTCCCCCTCAAAATCTATAACCCCATTCCAATAGTAAGAAACAGAATAAGGGGCTGGAGCAATGGCTCAGCAGTTAAGAGGTCTGGTTACTCTCACAGAGGACCCAGGTTCAGTTCCCAGCATGGCAGCTAACAGCCATCCGTAACTCCAGTTCCAGGGGATCTAACACCTTCTTCTGACTTCCCTGGGCATTGCATGATATAGGTATACTTATATACATACAGGCAATACACTCATGCATATAAAATAATAATAAATAATAATGATGATGATAATAAAAAGAAACAGGATAAATTCACTTTTAGGGGCATGCGCCAAGATTCTATTCAGAAGGTTTCCAAGAGTCAGGGTTATGAGAAACAAGGAAAAGCTAAAAATGAGTAAATGTAATGGGATATGATATAATCTGGGATTCAATCCTAGAACCAAAAAACAAAACGAAAGACAGTAATGGAAAAACCAATGGAATTCAGTTATCAGTTAAAGGCTGTAACTTGCAATGTTCTGTCTATACAATCCTTACATTCTTATATGTGTATATCTATATGTATGTATATGTATACATGAGTATATGTATGTCTATGTGTGTATATATGTGTATATGAGCATTCATATGTGTATATATGTATATATATGTGTGTATGTGTGTATATGTACGTGTGCCTATGTATATATGTATATATATGTATATGTGTATATGTGAATGTGTGTGTGTGTTTGCGTATGCATGCATGCAATACTGAGGATCACACCTGGACTTTCCCCCTGCAGACAAGAGCTCCACAGCTAAGCCATCCTCCATCCTTTCTTATGCTTATCTACCAACCTAAAGTTATTTGTAAATTAAAAGTTTTCCAAAGTCAATGTATTTGTTATTTTTTAATTAAAAAAAAACTTGAGTCAGGGTCTCATGTGACCCAGTCTGTCTTTAGACTTACTGCGTAACTAAGGCTGGACTTGAACTCTTGATCCTCCTGCCTCAGGCTCCCCAGTGTTGTTGATTATTAATGGTGTAACACTGGTGTTCCCCTGAGGTGCCATAGTGAGCTTGTGGACAAAGATCAGAATATGTGTTTCATGATTTCTTAGTAATTTTTATCTTTGATTTTTTTTTTAGCATTTTGATGTCTCTATGTTTATTATATGGACCAAATATAAAAGACAATACCTTTTCCTTTGGAAAAATTTCAGCTTTCTATTTAATCTATTTAACCAGAATCATCTTTATGTATTGATATATTATATTTACATGTAACAATATCACATATGGATTCTTTGAAAGTGCTGATCACTAAACTAGTCACAATTGGGCTTGTTGATGGTTGTGCTCATTCATTAAAGGAATGCCAAGCAGGGTCACTGGACCCTCACCTGAGTATCCAGCCACTCTTCCCAGCCAACTAGTCCAGCCTTGGAAGACAAAAGAAAAATGAGGAGGAACCCAATAGAGGGATGCTTTTGGAAGCCCTTGTCAAGAAACTCCAATGGACTCTCATACGAACATTTGAAAATTTCACTGTTCTGCCTTTTTTCTAGTTCCCTGTCTAGAACTTGTAATGCTAATTACTCTTGCCTTTACTTCTCCTTCACATCTCCAATTCATGATTCAAGGACTTTCTTCTCCCCTTAGAGACAAGAGTTATGCAATTTGGGAGTCTTTCAGATAGACCCACTGAAGAGGGTACTCCAATTGCCTCACCCTGCGTCCCTGTTTAGCATGGAAGAAACCAGAGCGGTCCGTGTCCCTATTCCCTATTGACAATTTGGATAACCCCTTCAGAGGATGGCGTGATAAGAATAGGAGGTAGGAATTGGCTAGGCAGTTAGGGTAAAAAGACTCCAAAGAAAAGTAGCCAGTTTCTTGGCTAAAAGTCAAAATGTCCTTGGGCCTGTTAGCAACATACTCTGTTCCAAGGCCAAAAATGTCAAAAGTATTTTGGAGCTTGTACCTAATCGTTAAAAGATTTTAGGGTTACCTCTTCAGACAGAGTAATGTTGGAGGGGAGGGAATGGGCATGGGTTTGATCAAAACACCTTATATGCATGTATGAAATTCTCAATAAAGTTTTTGTAAAAATTCAAAAAAAAAGAAGAAATCCAGATAAAGAGGGATAAAAATGTTTAATCGTTGAAACAGACTGATAAACTGAGTGATTTACATTGCAGTAATAAGTGGGTTTACATGTCATTAGCGAATTAAGAATGTCCCAGATATCTCACTAAACACCAACCATAAATCCTTTGAGACAATACAGACTTAACAATGGTAAGATTCTGTGATTACACAATGTGGAGAGGAGAGACTCAGTGACTAGGGAGTATTTGTTATATAAGCTTTAGACTAAAGAAAATAGGAATTTAATCAATATTGTGCATGGCATGCAAACTTAACCAGTTTATTTTAAAATACTGCAATATGATATACTGTCTCTAATAAATGGAATTCTCTGATATTTAAATAAAATTTTAAGCCAAATATTTATAAAGGGAAAGATAGTTGTAAGATCCCATTTACCAAATTTATAGCTAAAAATTAATAATATAGAAACAGCGAAAGAGAAGAGCCAATATATTACTTTAAGCAATTCATTTATACTGCTCTATCATTTTGTTATAAATACAGTAAGATTTTTGTTATATAAAAACTATCAAAAAAGTATCAGTGAAAAGACATGATTTCTATGAACTGTGTTGAGTGGCCAGGGTGGGAAACGCTAGGAGCTGGGTGGCCCAGGCTGGGCACCAGCCTTAACTGATCTGTCACATTATTTAACCAATTTCCACCCATGACCACAGCATTCAATTTGTACCCACAACTTTACCCCACACATGCAAGATTTGGGGGAGGTGGCAAAGCAGGAGACAACCTTTTAGAACTTCTTTGAATAGATCTGTGTGCATTACAATGTCCCCGGAGTCAAAATCTTTCCAAATTGATGAGCAAGCTATGAAAGGAATAAAGAGAAGAGAAAGAAGGAATTAGCACACTTGAAATGGTAAAACTCAGATAAAAATACACCAGTCTTAAGACCACAAATTATTTACTGATTTGCTTTTAAGCAAACCACAGATTCAATGGCCATTAAACAGGTATTTAAGATTTATTATGTGATTGGGCTGGAGACTGATGGCTCAGTGGTTAAGAGCACTGGCTACTCTTGCAGAGGACCCAGGTTCAGTTCCCAGCACCCACATGGCAGTTAACCATTAATTGTCCCTAACTCCAGTTCCAGGGAATCCAACACCCTCTTCTGTCCTCTGTAGGCACTGCATACATGTGGTGCATGTACATACATGCAGGTAAAACACTCATACACAGAAAATAAAAATAAATCAATCGGGCTGGAGAGATAGCTCAGCAGTTAAGAACATTGAATGCTCTTGCAGAAGACCCAGGTTCAAATCCCAGCACCCACATGGCAGCTAACAACTGTCCATAACTCCAGTCCCAGGGGATCCAACAGCCTCGTCTATCCTCCACGGGCATGGCATGACACAGGTGCACTTACCTACATGCAGGCAATACACGCATACACATAAAAATATTTTTAAAAATAAGATTAAAAAAATAAAATAAAATAAATCAAAAAAGATTTTTAAAAGATTATGTATATAATTCTGAATGTTGATAATATTCATATAAAGAGATCAAATCAGATACTGAAAGAGACTCATAAACTTACAATAAAAATACAGAATGATAAATAATGGCCAAATCCAGTTACATGCATGCCAGTTAATAATATAGACTGTTCATCCACAATTTCATCATGTTCTGTGGAGCTCCCCCGGCGAGGAGGAGATGCTGATGGGACCAGTCCATCCACTGGCACCTAAGAACTCATCACCTAAGCTCCTTTTTGCTAGCCTAGTCAAGAGCAAGCTTACACCATCCCCCTGGTGGATAAGATAGAGTATCTCAAAAAGCCAGAGCTATGTGGCTGTGGTTTCTACCCTAGTGTCAGCTGCATAAGAAACCACACATTTCTGTTACTGTGTAAGTCATTTCAAGATTCTGAAGTCATTGTTTAATTTAAAGTAACTAAATTAATTCATTGAGAAAATTCAGTTCAGAAAACCTATAGTGTTAGCCCCAAAATGTTTAACTCATCCTTTGCATCAGGTTTTCTTGTCCAAGGGCTGGAGAGATGGCTCACCAGTTAAAAGAGCACCAACTTCTTGCAAAAGACCCGTGTTTAGTTCCCAGCACCCACATGGTGGCTAACAACTGTCCTAACTCCAGTTCCAGGACCCCTCTTCTGGTCTCCGTGGGCACTGCACAACATGGGTACATTTACACACATGCAGGCAATACACTCTTAACACATTTTGTTTTTAAAAAAGTCCTCCCATCAAGGTTCTGCCCAATGACAGGCCCAGAAAGCCATCGCTTTAGGTGTGTCTCAGACAAGTGAACATGTATCCACTCTGGAAAAATGGACAGCTGTTCAACTCAGAGAGACTTTCATGGGATTCAAAGGAGAGGCAAAAGGGACCAGGATCACACTGATTGCTTCAAGGTACAACCAAAGAATGGATAAACAGAGAAAAGAAGGGTGGCGGTACAATAACACATTTGGACCCATGAACAGCATGGAGCTATTTTAGCCAGCTGCTTAAAGGCACGAGGGCTGCTTCAACAGTAACACCGCTTAACTGTAAAGGGGAATTTTAGATCCCCACACCACGGTGAACCACCATCACATCTCACCCTCCTGTAAGAAAGTTGGGACTGAGCACAGCCTACCTAGGATCTGTGGCAGGGCAGAGGGGCCCAGGCTCCTGACACCTGTCTACAGGACACCTCTTTCACTCAGTTCCTATGCTTTTTGAAATGCATCCTCTTTCCAGGAGCGGATGGCAGTGCAGGCTTGCTTCCCATTAGGTCACCTTTTCTACAGGAGGCAGACTGCAGAGAGTCTTCTACACAAGGCAAAACTGGCAGCAAAGCCAGAACCTTATGCAAGAAGAGGATGAACTCTATTAAAACACTAGACATAAAAATCTTAGGGAATTCTCAGTTTGTGGTTGTGGGAACTCTGGTCTAAGTCCCCATAATGCTTCCATGAGGAGATGGTGTTCTGAGGAGTAATAGTAAGCTTATGACAGTTTCCATCAAGAAACTGATTACACCTTCCAGGTTCCATTCCTCCAATGGGAAAGCATCTTAATCTCCACCTGTGAGCCTGTGTTACAGTCTCATCCCATCCCAAGCACAAACTCTAGTACTAACCTGGGCAAGAAGTTGTTTAAATACCAAAAAAATCTTATTTCTAGAAATGGAGGGGGCAGATGAAGAAGAAAAAAAGGAAGAGGAGGAGGAGGAGGAAAGGGAGGAGAAGGAGAAAAAGGAAGTACCTAGAGGAAGAAAAAAGGTGAGGAAGGAGGAAGAGAAGAGGAGGAAGAAGAGGAAAGGAAGAAGAGGAAGAGGAAGAAGAAGAGGAGGAAGGGAGGAGGAGGACTAGGAGGAGGACAAGAAGGAGGGCAATGGTGAAAGCAAATGGTGAGGCAAATGGTGAAAGCATTTATTTCATACTTAACCCTAACAGCAACCCTATGTCTAAGCAACAGATCCAAGCTATAGATTGCAAAACTGAGGCCACAAAGAAAAAGTAACTTGTCCAACCAATAGGTGGAAGAGTATGAATTCAGCACCAAGACTGACCCCCAAAGGAAAATGGGCTTTCTCGGGAGACAGCACTCCTGAAAGTAGAGGTTTCAAAAAAAGGCTGGTATCATTCTGTAAGACAGATAGAGCAGGGAGCCAAACACAGAAAGCACCACAGGATCAAGTGAGGACTACTCCTCCCCACCTACCTGCTCTGAACCGACCATGAGGCCCATCATCTCCACTGGAGCTCTGCTGCAGGTTCATTCCCTCTAGAACTCTTGGCTATCACCACCCACTGTGTATAAATCCGAATCTGACTCCCATCCCAAGTCTCTCTGACCTTTCTCCATCTGTCATTCAAGTCCTAGGCCCTCCCAAATTTGGGGCAAGAAAAGTGAGACCTGGTATTTTATACCTGGTGTTTTACGTGGCTTGTTCTTATTAAACAAATTACATTGCACTCGTAGAAGAATGAAGGGACAACCGAGTGGCTGGGAAAACCACTGACCTGAGTTAACCTCTTTATAATGAAACACTTCAGCCCACAGGAGGAGACACTCCCCAGCCTCAGGTTCAAGATCTCTTAGAAATGCACAGTGATTGCATGCAGTTCCTTCATTATCAAGGCTAAGTACATGAAGTAATTTAGAAAAATATACAGTACCTCTTAAGTGCTGAGCTATGGTGCCATCTTCCCCTAATCTTAAAGAGAAAATTAATAAAAGTTAGTGTTCAGATTTATGAAAGCTCATCCCACAAAGCTACAAACAACAGTAACACAGATGTATTTACTCATCTAAATCATAAAGCAGGGCTGGCAAGATGGCTCAGCAGGAAAGGTGCTTGCTGCCAAGCCTGTTGATCTGACTTTGATCCTTGGGACTCATATAGTGGATGGAGAGAACCAACTCCCACAAGTTGTCCTCTGCCCTCTACACACACACAAACACACACACACACACACACACACACACACACACACACTGTGGCATGTGGCCACACATATACTTATACTAAATAAATTAAAGTGTGATAAATTATAAGGTAGAGAAATAATTAAAACAAATGATAGTACATTAAAAATAATTTTATGTAACTTTCTAGCAATGTAAAAATATTAGCTAATGATCATTAAAACTATGCATTAGGGGCTGAACCAATGATTCAGTGGTTAAGAGAACTGTTCTTGCAGAGGACCCAGATTCACTTCCCAGCACCTATATGGCAGCTAACAACCATCTGTAAGTCCAGTTCCAGGGGATCTGATGTCCCCTTCTGGCCTCTGCAGGCACTGCACATACATGGTACATTTACTTGTACAAACACACCAAGCACACAAATAAAAATAAAATAAATTGATTTTTAATTTTTTTAACTATCTAATAAGGGGCGTAGGAGACGGCTGAGTAAAGGGAAGAGCACTGGGTGCTCTTGCAGAGGACCAAGGTTTGTTTCCCAGCACCCACATGGTGGTTCACAACCTGTAATTCCAGTTCCAAGGATCTCACATCTTGTCCTCTGAGGGCACTACATACATACATGCAGACAAACAGTCATACACATAAAACAAAGATAAATATTTGAAAAATAGAACTATGCATTATATAATAAGTCAGCACAGTGGTAATTTAGTCTTCACTCTTTCCATGAGCCTCACTTTAAATTTACTTAAGCATCTGCCTACAAGTCTATACTTGAGTCCACTATTCCAGAAGACTTCGTTAGCTCCATAATTAAACTATCAAAACTCAGAAAGAGAACCCCACTTCATTTAATTATACAACAGGCAGTTCTTTGTCCTTTAATCACCATACTGCTTATCAATTAATCATATTCATGCTCTAAAACTCCACCTTTGTCTTCTACAAAAGTGCCATCCACTTAATGCCAGTTTTCCATTTCACACTGATCAACACTGAAATTAACAAGAACTTAAGATCAACCATGGCACATAACCATAAATAAAAGTTTAATTTGGACTGGAATACTTTTAACGTGTGGGTGGTGATTTCAAGAAATGATTTCAATGAACAAACAGTATTTACACATGGCTCCACTGCAACTGTGTAATACATAGGTCGAATCAAGGAAGTAGAAATATAAATTTCATAGTTTTTTAAGACCAGAGAGATAACTCGGTTGTAAAGTGATTGTCGTACAAGCATTAGGACCTGAGATGAAGCCCCAGAACTCACATTTTAAAAAGCCAGGCATGGTAGCATGCACTTGTAATCCGAGAGCTGGGGAGGCAGAGACAGGCGAACAGGTCCCTGGGGTTCACTGGCCAATCAGACTAAACTACTTGGAAAGTTCCAGGTCAGGGAGAGATTCTGTCTCCAAAAGAGGGGGGAATGATGCTTGAGGAACATCTGAGGTTTTCCTCTTTGCACACACACACGCACACACACACACACACACACACACACACACACACACACACGAAAATAAGGCCCACATAATCCTTGCTTACTTTTTCGTACAGTCTTTCCTTGACTGGACACCATATTGACAGCTTCAGATGGTAAACCAACATACACTCCTCCATAGTTTCTTTAAGAAAAGAAATCAGACCTATTTAAAGGGTGCTAGAGAAAGGAGGGTCAAAATAGCACAGATCACTCCAAACAATGACGTGACTATGAAAATAATTCATGATGTTTCAAATATAATTGTTTTTCTACATTCAAAGGAAGCTATAAAAAAGCTGGATTGACTCAGCAAAATTTTTAGATATTTTACTTATAATGAGAAAGAAGAAAAAAAGTTGGGCTAAGTCAGTAACCTGATAAGTATCCAGTAACACATGGCAGGAATGGAAGATTTATGATGAATTCTGAGGTCCCCATGGTGTTAAACAACATGGATATACAAAAGTACTCCACATAGGGAGGGACGTGGAACATGAGAGAGTGAATGGAGGAGTACAGAGCAGGGCGGAGTGGACCCAGGGAGGCATAAAAGGACCGGGAAGCAGAGAGTGGGGAGGGGAAGTCCACCAGTGAGAACAGCCAAACAGTACCCCAAAGCCCAGGGTGAAAACAGACAGAGTGGAGCCACGTGCACAGGACAAAGCCCAAGCTCGCTGGGAAGCAGAAGGGACTGTGAGTCCTGACCACCACTTTTTTTAAATCTCGTGCTCCTGTATCTTCTGTGGTGGAATCCGTACTGTTGATCCTGTGCTGCAATGGGTTAAATCCAAGCAGTACAGCCAAATTCTTCACAATAAACCAGCAGCAATACCATACTTACCTCCTCTTATCATCTTCTGTTATCGAGTCTTCTGTTCTAAAAGGCCAAAAACATTTGTGATGAGCCATTTGGTGACATGCCAGACACTTCATTTTTGGTTATAAGGTGTGGGGGGGAGGCTGGTGAGGTAAAATGAACTTATCACCAAGTATCTCTATAGCACAGTATTCTGGCTTCCTTCAGCCATCACTAAAAATTGGGTAATTTTCTACATACAAATATGGACAAATTCAGCAAATGCCAAAAAGTCCAATTGCCAAACCAAATGGAGAACTGAGGGCAGTCAAGGCTGGGGTGGACACACGGGTGAGGTGTCAGGAAGCCCGAGTTTTTCAGCTGTAACACCCAGTCCCTGGGTAACTGATAGACTGGGCAGGTTGTCTGGGCCTCATCTGAAAAGTAAGGGTGTTGAAACCAGATGACCCCGCAAGCCCTCACTGTGAGTTGGGGGTCTCTCATGCTATGTGAGGGTTATAACTAAGGGTAGTAAAAGAGTTTTTTAATGCAAAAGAGTTAATGTCAATTTGATTTCCTGTCAATCTGATTTCCTTTTATTCAAAAAATGAACCATTTTACACATAATCTACTGCAGAGTGGGAAAGAAAGTTCTTAGAGAGTCTCTTTTCTTTTTTTAAATTATTTTTTTTAATTTTTTATTTATTATTTTTTATGTGTACGCGTGTATTGCCTGTGTGTAGATAAGTGCACCCATATCGTGCAATGCCCACAGAGGTCAGAAGAGGCTGTTGGATTCCCTGGGACTGGAGTTACGGACAGTTGTTAGCTGTCATGTGGGTGCTAGGATTTGAACCCAGGTCTTCTGCAAGAATAGCCAGTGTTCTTAAATCGCTGAGCCGTTTCTCCAGCCCAAGTCTCTCTTCTTTAAAATGCATAGACTCGGGGCTGGGGAGGTAGCTCCATTGTTAAAGGGTTTGCTGTGCAAGCATGAAGACCTGAGTTTGATCCCCAGAACTCACATAAAAGATAAAGCCAGGCATCATGGTGCATGCTTGTAATCTCAGCACTAGGGTCGGGGGCAGAGGCAAGCAGACCCCCAGGGCTTGCTGGCTGGCCATTATAGTCCAACTGGCAAGCCCCAGGCCAGTAGGGCGTTCTGTCTCAAAAAACAAAGTGGACAGATCCTAAAGAATAACCCTTAAAATTGACTTCTGGCCTCCACATGCAAGTGTGCACATGTATGCACATGCATGCACATGAACATACGCACATATATATAGCTCCCTGTAGCAGACTCTCTCCTTATACAAAAAGAGCCCACAATCTACCAGAATTTCTCACCATATTCTAAGAGGATCAGGAAGCTGAGCTCAGAGCCCTAGCTAGTTAGCATCCATAGGTTAGTTTTCTTAGGGAAAGTCTACATTCAAATGAGTCCAGATGACCTCAGTGTGCAGTTGGAAGGATCTCCACTCAGAACACTCACTAAACACATCCAAACACCCTCACAGAAGCTTCCAGTTCTAGAGATGGCCACTTTATGGTTTTGCCTACTCAAGACTACTCCAAACGAAGCTGTATATGCATCTGTGATTTTCTTCACTGCAAGCAGATCTGACAGGTACCTGATGAACACTACCCATGAACACAACGAATACCAATCGAGTGTGAAATCCACCTTGAGATGTAATTTGTCAAACTGAGCCCAGGACTCCAGTGTGCCATGTAATTATCAGCTTCACTGGTCTCTTGCTAAAGTTCAATCCTTCTTTAATTGAAGAGTGTCAGAGTTATACTGTATCAGAAATGTGTGGTGTTTATTGCTATGGCTTAATAAGGTGCTATTTACTGCTTTTAATTAAAATGGATTCATAAATCTTTAGTACAGATCATGGGAAATGATGGCGAGGCGCTCAGTCAAGACTACCACATGGTTTGCTGTGGCCCTATCCCGAAGTCCTCACTTGTGAACACGTAGCTGATTCGGGCTTTGATAATGTCTCATGATTCAGTCACCTAATTCGTTTTTTCACATTCAATTTCCATCTATGCACTTTAACTCTTTCTCCTTTTACCTAATTTTTCTTCAAATGCATTTTAACCTCTCCAATACAAGAAAACAGTAAATTGTTTTAAATTTATTATCAAATATTAATTATCTAATAACCTAAAATCCAATCTGTGTTCTCAGTATAAACAACTTTCATACATATAATGAGCAGGAAATGATAATGTAGTTATCCTATTTATTAGGTAATTAAACTTCAGATACAAAATTTCTAAAAAAAAATACCATAATCTGGGCATGGTAGCACACACCTGAATCCCAGTACTCAGGAGACAGGTAGGAGGATCTGAAATTCAAGCTCATTCTCAGATACATGATGAGTTTGAGGCTAGTGTGGGATACAGACCCTGTCTCAAAACTGGATAAAAGAGGGGCTGGAGAGATGGTTCAGTGGTTAAGAGCACTACTGCTCTTGCAGTGGACCCAGGTTCAATTCGCAGCACCCACATGGCATCTAACAACTGTCCTAACTCCAGTTCCAGGGAATTGGACACACCCTTCTGACCTCTTCAGGGAATTGCACTATACAGGTGCACTTACATAGATGCAAGCAATATACTCATACACACAAAATAAAAATAATTTTAATAACTGGATAAAAGAAAAAGGAATCATTGACCACTCCTTCCTGAGAGTCAGGTAAGTAATACATCAGTGCTTTCCTGCTCAACAGCTCTGATCTGTGAACATCAGTGAGAGAACACTGGAATTCACATCCCCCATAGTCCCTTTACTCAGGAAGAAAGGTGAAGAAGCCAAAACTAGTTCCAGTGAGGGATCAACTCATGGTTTCTCATAAGTGGAGCTACCTGCATGCCACGCTTGGGAAAGCACTGAGCATCCTCTCACCTCAGCCCAATCGGCTGGTGAGACTCTTCCAGGCACTTTAGTTAATGTGTTGTGTGATTCCTGCTCACCCTGATCCCAATCCTACATGACAGGAATTAACTTCCTTTTAAAGATGCAAAGCGGGATTTTCAAAGGCTGACAGAATGATCAAAGTCACAAAACTAACAGTCAGAATTTGAACCCATCTATGTGATTCCAAACCTTCGGAATCTGTGAGTCCTGCCAATTTGTATCAGAGAACTGTGCACCTTCCCCCAGCTAAGGCTCCAATTTCTACCCATCCCACTCAAGGGAAGGGGAAGCAGGACAGAAGGACAGTCCTGAGCTGTGCTGCACTAGTTTAGGTAGAAGCCTCTAGCAGCTACTAGGAACCATTGATCATTCCAGAATCTGTCTAATTTCTGTGTAATTCTGTTCCCTCCAAGTGTAAGGGTTTTCCTACACTTGGATCATCTAGAAAACCAGGTCCAGACAGAGGTTAAACAGAAGCAGCTGACTAAATGGAATCTCCTCAGAGTAAGAAAAGTTCAAGCCAACACTCAGGCACCTGCAGAAAGCAAACACCGTCCTACTTGTGTGGAAGATGGGCATACCCTCCGAGCCCAGGTGGCGTGCATCTCCCAGAGCCACACTGGTTATGGCACAGAGAGGAGGAAACAGCTCAGCCAGCCAGACTCCTGGGAAGACGAAGGCCTAGAACTGTCAAACCAGAAGCCCAATAGGGCAGTGGGATTAGGCTGCATGTCTAAAGGATACAACTTCTTGTCTATCTATAGGTGGCATCACTGCAGTGCCCAAGAACAGCCAGCCTATGAAGAACCAGAGGAAGCTGTGCTGATCGAGCTCAGAGAGCAGGAGTGGGAAAGTGTGGGTTTCCAACAGCTACCTTGCTGGCTGTCATGGAACAGATAACTGGAATGAGCCATTTTCCAACAGACGCCCACCATATATGTGCATATACACACATATAAGTACATGAATGTGTGTACACATAAGGACACATTTGTACATATACACACAATTATAAATATGTGTGTGCACAAATACATACATGCCGATATGCACAGAGGCATGAACATGCGCACACAAACACATGTGCTCATGTAAACATGACATATACCCACTCAGATGTATGCACAAACACATGCATGGAAAGGCACATACAAACACATGCACTTGCAGACATGAAAGCACACACAGAAAGATACACACAGATGCACAAGCATAAACATATACGAAGAAGCACAAACACATACATTCACAGAAATATATGCACATATGTAGAAACATGCACACACAAACATTTGCACATACATGCCCACATACAAACACACACATGCACATTCATACACTCTTATACACAGCTGGTGTGGTAGACAAACTTGCCTCTAGATCACTTCTTTTTTTTAATTTATATATTTTATTATTTTTATTTGTATGAGTGCATTGTGTGCATTTATGTAAGTGCACCCATGTTGTCAATGCCCATGGAGGCT